ATTTTCAATGAAACAGAAGTATGGACAGATTTTTTCTTCCATATTGTGACGTACATCCGAGTGAACCGAATTATGTTAAAAGGAAAAAAAAAATTAGGGAGGGTACTTGGTTTCATCAGTTGTTGACTGGATTTTGAGATGGGGCTGTTGTGCTCAAATGAATTAAATATTAGATTTTGATTAAACATTACAAAGTCAAAAAAAAAAAGAAAAGACGAATACAAGAAAAATACATGGATTTGTTCACAATAAGATCTATAATGTGCATTTACAAAACAGTTGAATTTTCATTTTATGTTCTTTTTTTTAACTGTGTTTTTATTCAACTTTGTATAAACATATCAATTTACACATAGCATAGCATTTTAATATATTAATACACAAATAATAAATAAATAAATAAAAAAAGATAAATAACCATACAAAATAAAAAAAAGAAGGAACCGTTAATAACTTAAACTAAATACAGATAACTACAAAAAGCCCCTGACAACATTTTAAAGGACAAGTAAATTTGTTTCTATTAGAGCCCAGTTCTGTTGGAAAATGTCAGATTTTAACTGTAAATCCGCTGTCATTTTCTCAAATATATATATCTTATTCAGTCTCTGTGTCCATTCTGTCAGAGTAGGTTTGTGCATCTTCATCCAATTTACCCCATTTTTTTTTTTATTACATGTTAGAATATATTCACATAGAACATTTTTAAATTGTAATATTTCACAATATTACAATTTCTTATCAAATAAATTCAGCCTGGGTGAGCAGAAGAGACTTCTTTCAAAACCATTTTGTTACAGAGAGCATGTGTGGTTTGAGCTTATATAATGCACATGGCACTAACGAAACGAACAGAAGTGTGTGTTGAGTATGTTGTTGTGTGTGTGTGCTGTGGTTTCTGACCTCTTTGGCGACGGTGTGCCAGTGCAGGTGACTCTCACACATGTCCATGTGCTCCTGGTGCAGGAATTTACACTTATCAGGAACCAGCAGAGCGTCGCTCACAAACTCACCGACTGATACAGAAAGACAAACAAGCACACGATGAGAACAGGAGATGAGGGAACAACACAGGGCGTATGATGAAACTCACGCACCCAGGCAGCGGTATGGCACCACGATGTGCATGTGACTGCGGCACTGCTTACGGCCCTTCTTACACCAGTCCCAGATACTGACGGGTTGATTGGCCTCCACGACGTTTGTGATCTGAAGCCCTGGATACACCTGAACATCACAGACACACTCGCTTACAACACTGTACAGCCTGCTGCATTATATTTGACACACACACAGGCCTCTAAATGATCAGAACTTTGCTGTTAAACTTGTTGCACACAATCTACTACATGCCTTCTGTTGTCTGATTGATAGTTTATACGTTTTAGCAAGTAAAAGGTCTTTTAGCATAATTGCACATACGTCCACTTTCAGCTCATGCTTCATGATTTTTTTGCTGTGAAATCTTAACTAATTTTTATAACGTAAACGTAAGAACATCTTTGATATTGTTAGTAATATTTCAAGATGAACACTTACTGGACTGAAGCAGCTTAGCTTAATTTGATTATCTAGTGAGTATCAAATATGATCATCAGGCTTTTGAGGAATGTTTATTTGTTCATCTCTCATTCATCATTGTATTTCATTGCATTATATGTTTTGATCATCAAACTAAACATCTAAATATCATCTTATTAAGACATATTATTGGATATATAGAGTGAAGAATGATATTTGTGTCATTGTATGTAAGTATCTGCTATACCGTTATAAAGACCTCATTGATTTACATTCACAAGCATTAGAATTTCATTATATAAACATCAGAATCTGCACCAAATTGCATATACTTTGCTCAGTTTGAGTCTCTGAATAAAACAGAATTTTTTTCCTCCATGTTCTCACTATATCAGACTATATGAGCCCTAACAGCCTGATTTATGATACTCAATTAAATAAATTAATGAATTAAAAACAAAGGCTTTTTTCTGACTATAATTTCAAATGTCAGGCTTTCGTTTTGTGTATATGTGTATATATATATATATATATATATATATATATAGTTTACATATTTAGTTCACCCAAAAATGAAAATTCTGTCATTAATTACTCACCCTAGTGTTGTTTGAAACCCGTAAGACCGTCGTTCATCTTCGGAACACAATTTAAGGTATTTTTGATGAAGCCACACGCTCGCATCATGATACTGTCGTGAACACGCGTCCACAAGTGACGCAGTAGAGACGAAAATGTGGAATAAAGTCGTTATTTTTGTTTTCTTTGCGCAGAAAAGTATTCTCGTAGCTTCGTAACTTTACAGTTGAACCACTGATGTCACACGGACTACTTTGTCGATCATCTTGGTACGTTTCTGGACCTTGAACGTGGTAGTTACCTTGCTGTCTATGGGAGGGTCAGAGAGCTCTCAGATTTCATCAAAATATCTTAATTTGTGTTCTGAAGATGAACGAAGGTCTTGCGGGTTTCGAACAACACGAGGGTGAGTAATTAATGACAGAATTTTAATTTTTGGGTGAACTAACCCTTTAATATATTTGTCTTCAGCTATTATTGATGTCTTATTTAACATCTGAATAAATTATCTAATCTTTATTTTCTCAATAACACGATATTGTGACACAACATATGAATGATTATATCATTAGAGAGCAAAGACCTTCTTAAGAACTTTAGTTCATAAACTCAGATGTGTTTCTGGGTTAAAGTGACTCTGATGATGCACAGGCTCATATATTATCTTTTACACATTATCTTTGGCCTTGTATTGCAGTCATAAATAAATGACAGGAACGTTGTTTTCACCTCCTGGCAGTACTGCAGGATTCCCTCTTTTGTCCCAATGCAGCTCTTGGTTCCGGACGGATCAGGTTCCCATTTTCCGGTCTGAATGTTGATGTGCATGTTGAGTTTCCCGCAGAACATGGCGACCTGTAGCTCAGCCAGCAGTCCCGTATCAGAGTCTGACGGCACCTGCGACAGAAGAAAACCACAGACATCACCAAACACCATCATATCAGTTCAGCACGATTCCTGATGTACATTTATATACCTTGCTTCACTCTGAATTACACAACATTATACAAGTGAAATGGAATCAAATGTGCTTCATGTTGAACTCACATACTATGGGTTCCTGAATAGTATTCAAAAACATAGTGACTGTTTACATGCACATCAATATTTCAATATTAAGTGGAATTTGCCAATATTCTGATGAGTACAGTAAAAAAAAATGGTGTAGGGTGTACTTTGAAACAATTTTCCCAGACCCCTGGAATATACCTGTTTTAATGGAAATTAGCTGCATGTGAATACATACAGACAAATGTGCTTGAACATTGACATGATTATTATTATCATTATTATTAAGGATTGCCCAAAACCTTCGCATTTCATGTGGGTGTTTGAGTCATAATTAAATTATTGTGTAAAGCTGTCAGCAGACAGTATACAAGAATATTTCAATGCATGTATGCATATACACATCATATTCAGATTATTGCTGCAACCAAAATTTAGAGCTGAAACTATCTGTCAATTTTATTTAGGAACCAGAGATCCTAAATAAATAAATATACTTTTTCATAATAATAATAATAACAACGAGGACAATTATTGTAATGAATTATAATATATATATATATATATATATATATAATAAACCCATCATATATACCTAAACCCACCCCTAACCCTACCCCTCACCTACAAAACTTTCTGCATTTTTACAATTTCAAAAAAACTAAGTTTACTTTATTTTGTCAGGTTTTGCTCACTTTTGGGTACAAAGTGATATAAATATATTTTATATATCTGCATGAAACCGGGCATCAAAACATGATAATGTTCAGCAGAAAAGCTTACGTTGTATTTGTTACGCTGTATTTTATTTTAAACAAGTTTGAGGTAACATGAAAATATGTATATTATAACATCTAAAAAACTGCTTTTGTTGAAATGAAATTTGAATTGAATCAACAGTACTACATTACGACAAAATGAAGAACTGAACATAAATGTACAATTTATTGTATATTATACATTGTATAGATATTTTCTATGTTTTCACATATTAAAATGAATAAAATCAATCTGAAATTGTATACACTTAAAATTGTATGTGATATAAATAGAGTAGATTTTATATTCCTAAGTGAAATCAGGCATCAAAATATGATCATGTGCAGTAAAAATGATGAATAACTGTTTATTATTTCAGAAGCCTGGTATCCAATATCAGCATAATCCCATCAACACAAATAATTTAACTATGATTACATTAGTCAGTCCTGATACTGTCTATGATATGTCACTTATCCATGGATAATACTGTATATGAGATCTGAGACTGATGGATGATGAAGTGACAGTGAAACTCTGAGATCACATTCACATCTGACTTCATATTCACATGAACAAACACGCTTGAGCTTTTACTCCTTCAAAAACATGCTTTCATTGAATCAATGTTCTTCTGCCCAAATTCACACCATAAAATGATCAGTGATGTTTTTATACCGCAGTAAAACAATCACAATAAGCAGTACGTGTTCACATCTGAGACAGAGGGACAATACAATAATCCTTCAAACGCTCCTGCCCTCACTGCAAATGTAGGTCACCGTCAAACAGACGTATTACTTACAAACGCTATCCAGATGAATCTGTGAGAGAGTACAGACACACACACACACACATTTGTGTCTGCACTAAAAGTGGACATCCGCTTTGGGAGTAAACAGGAGGAGGATGCCGAAAGATTCGCCCATGTGCCACAATAGTGAAGAAAGATTGTATTCTCTCCTTGTTCAATTACAAACACACTATTATTTTAATGCTGAAATTGTGTTATTAAATTAATTTTTACATTTTTATTTTTATTTACATTTATCCAAAGTGACTAAAAAATGAGAAAAATCACAAGCAATTTTTTGAAGGTTTATTGAAGAAAATACTGTTTAGCGAGCTTGCTCTGCCTGCTACAGTATTTTCTCCTCTTTGCGTCCGTCTTCAGCATCTCTGGCCTCTGTTAACTGTCGCTTACATACTTCATAATATTTCCACACAAGAAATGACATTTTGAAAAATGATTGCATGCAGTTTGTGCAAGTCCCGAACAGAGATCGGTTGAAATAAAACAAAAAATAGCCAGTCGACCGGTGCATGTGTACTCCACTGTATAAATTAAATATAGATTAATCAAACACACTTATGTATTTGTCTGTTCAAGATGCATCTCTCTGTGTGCACTGTACACACAGAACACAGCGCGTGAGTACTGAATGGAGTTGTCTTTCGCGTCTTTCTTAAAGGCTTAAAAACACGTGCAAATGATAAACTTTCATGACGACGCAGCAGTGGACCGATTGGGCCAGCGACAAATTCGTCAACTGTCCTCAGTGTCTTTCACACTGGCCCCGGGCCATCGGGCAGTTCTTATTGTCGAGCTCTGATTTAGCAAACGCTGGATTTAGCAATCCAAAGTGACTTTAAAATGAGAAAAATCACAAGCAATTTTTCTATTCTAGTCTTACTACTTCAAAATTTCACATTAATTCTGTTACTTGCCATTTGTAATTATTCGCAAAATTTACTAGTAACTTCTATGTGAAAATCGTTCCAAAGTACATTTACATTATATTTCTTCATTTAGAAGATTTTTTAAAAAATCCAAAGCGACTTAAAAAAAAACCACAAGCAATTTTTCAAAGGATTATACCATTTCAGTCCTTCTATTTCAAAATATCATGTTTAATTCAGTGCTACTTGCCGTTTCTTTGTAATTACTTGTGAAATTTACGAGTCGTTTCTGAGCAAAAAATGTTTCTAAGTAAAAATGAGAAAAATCACAAACAATTTCTCGAAAGATTTCTTTCTACTTCAAAATTTCAAAACACATCATCTCATTTATGAAACAACTCCAGATGGATTTTATGATGAAACCTCACAGCAGAATGAGAGGAAGGCTGGAAATGCTGAGGAAGGAGTGCCACACCCCGGCTCTCTCTCCCTCACTCGCTCTCCAGAGAAACGCTAAATATAGAATGGCCGCGAGGAAAAACCCACGAGACCACAAGACATCTGCAATCCTAAAGCTACAATTACTGCATTTGATGCATTACAACTAAATGGGTTTAACAAAACAGTCCTGTTAAAGTGGAAGTGAAGCAGTCAGTTAAGTTAACATTATTTAGTAAAGTGATTTCCACTTTGATAAAAAAATATATAACAAACACGATTAATGTAACCATTTTAAAGAAAAAAGGATGTTTTGTTATAGCTTTCGGAGCAAGGGCGCCGCCATCTTGCAGTACCATCTCGTGTGACGTCACGGGGTTGGTTCGCTCTGATAGCCAGTGAAGTAATAGAAGTTGGTTCGCTCCGATAGCCAGTGAAGTAATACAAACATTTCTTTACATTTGAACACACAAAGGTTATTTTAACACACAAATAATTTGGTTTTCACCATAATTTGCATGAATATTCAACATCAAACTGTCTATATGCTAAGTTTTGATCGTGGTATCCCAAACATATTGTTTTCATAATGCGAGGCCCAACGTGATGTAAACAAACAACACTTCATGCAATATCATTCATGTCGCAATTTATTGTTATGTCAGACCATTAAGACATATGCATTACACTGACTGGTTCACCAGTATCATATTTTATGTTCAGCTGCGAATATTAGCTTGAAACAGCTTTCCTGCTGTTAACAGGACATAGTGTTTAACTAATCACCTATCTGAACAAACTTCAGAAACATTTTTTGTTATACTGGTTGAAAGTCTCTTTACATCCCGATGGCAATCATTAAGTTAAGTGGTCTAAATGTATTTATATATTCTGTGGAAGGTGTAGGACCAAGAAATGTTCGTCCAATCAAAATGTTCGGTCCAAACATTATGATAGGCTTTCTTACCTGCCTGTCAACATATGTATTTGCATACCTCTGTGCACCCTGTTCACGCAGACAGGATACGTCATCAGCACATTCCCATACGCTGTGCAGACAGAGCGAGAATGGCAGGCAAACATCAACAATCTGACCTTCCTTCCTTCCTTGGTATTGTAGTACTGTTACTAACTGTACTATAAAGTTTTCTCACCGGCGAAGGACACATGATGCATTGTAGTAATGTTGTCTCTGGTCGTCTGGTCTGTGCGCGACCAGGAGACGACCAGGATCATGCATTCAGGGGGTGTGGCTTTGGACGGCGATTTGCAGGGAGGGTGGGACGTATGCTTTCAGTGCTATCAGGCTAAAGTTAGCATTTTATAAGATCTCCTACTGCACCTTTAATTGTTGATGATGAATAATATTTATTCATTTTTAATCATATGCAGCAATAAACAGTAATGTATTACTGTCTTAACATATATGGAAAAATGTAATTGAGAGGTTTTTGTGAACATTTCTGGTTAATAATGCAAACAAAAAGTTTGAACAATATAAATCAGAGTTCTGAACTGAACAGTGAAATGATTCACTGAAATCTCAAATATAAAGCACTCATACTCACTGGACACGAGATTGTTAATAATTGTGAAACTAGTCTAACAGCACCTGTGATAGCCAAATGAAAAAAAAAACCATTCAAATCACTGAGATATTGTGGCTTAATTTAGTAAAATTCTTGAAATGTTATCATGAATATTGGATGATTATGGGCCAGCCCTACAGGGAGGTTTTGCACAAACTCATCCTGATTATACAAGAAGTTGCTGTGTTGGCCATGAGCATCGCTCACCTGCTGACACGCATGTTACAGCCAACAAAGCCTCTCATTCAGAACACAAACCTGCGGCTCGTTTGAAAGCTTGCCTCTCAATGCCTGCCATACCAGTGTGCATCATGTGACCTTTGCAGATCTATAGTTGTGAATAAAAGTGGATGACAACACAGTGTAAGCCACGTCTAATTGGAGCACAAACAATAGAGAACAAGCAATATGACATTTATACAAGGTACAGTTGAAAACAAAGACAACTCTGTCCTTCAAGCAGTTTATATTACATAAGGCCATGTCAAATATTCACAATATGCTTGTGATAGGTGTGCTGACATTATACAATTAAACAACGCTTTTTATTTATCCGTTAAGTTTGCACAGACCCTAAATAACCCTAAACATCACTAAAAAAACAAAAACATTTAGAAGTCTCCAAGTGATATATTAGTAAAAAACGTGTTCAGTTAATATCGCAAATGTCATGCTGGTTCATATACATGTAAAAGAAATTTATAAATAATCTTTTTAAATTCATTTAGTGAAGAAAGTAGATGGGAAAACAAGGCATGATTGTTGCAACTAGAATTTTACTGTATTTTGCTTCTTGCAAATAAACACTGGCATTATTGGCTGTCGAGTTGAAATGATGGTTCATCTGGTTGAAAAACAGCCTTTTAGCCATTTCAGAAAAAGACAAACTTTGACATGCATAAACTCTGGCAGGTCCGGCCCTCGTTCCAATACTGTAGTATTTACGGGACATGTCCTGAATACAGCTGAAACAGCCTTGAGTCTATCTGCTTTACCATTTGTCAGTGAGTGTGAGACATCTGTCAAACCTCCATTTCTACAGACGTTTTGGTGGCGAGACCAACAAAACCACAATCCACCAAATGTGAAAGCAATTAAACACTGTTACTAATAGCCAATCAATATCTTCACTCTGCGACACAATAAACAGAAACATCCCATAATGGCCTCAAAAAATGACTTTGCACATGCTTTAGGCTAATGTTTACATCATTTAGATTTTCATTCTAGTCCCACAATGTGATGGAATCAGAGAGTAATACCATGGTATTTTGATACCAATGACTATAATATTCATATATCATGATATTGGCATGGTACCCCAATGCTCACCAAAAAATACCATGGTACATGCCCTAAAAAAACACAGTGCCTTATTCTTTAAAGGTCCCATATTGTACACCTTTCTGGAGTTTTGCCTCAAATTAGAAATTTGATCACGTATCTGCTGCCACTGCCAGACAAAAAACCGACGACAGCTGTGGTTAAACACGATAAAACGAGCAGACTGGACAGAAAGGATCGTCAAAAATGCTCGTGTTTGCAGCGCACACTTCTTATCAGAAAAGGTTTATCAGAAAAGGTTCAGATTTCTTGCCATATGTCTATGTTTCTTGCATCTCACGACTAACAGTTATGTCGTGTATGAAATAATGTTTGTGTGCATGTGTGTAAAACAACAAACTGACGATTTATATATAATCATTTGTAATTGTATATACATTGGTGTGATTAATTGTGGCTGGGAACAATAATGTAGCTGCCTCTGTAGTTAAATAGCCCCTAGACCTCAGTAATCGTGAAAAAAGCCAGAAAATGTAAGTTTTGACAATATGGGACCTTTAAAAGTCTGGGAACGGTGAGAATACAGTGGAGACTACGGTGACTGCGGGGTGGAAAATTACAGGCTTAGACCAACCCAGAGAAAATGTGTCTTACAGTCAAATAAACTTAAACAGAACGTTAGTGTTTAAAAATAGCGTGTTCCTCGAAACACAATGTAGCTCCAGACAGTCTCCAGCCCACTGAGTTCAGCCGCTGCGGTGATTCGTCGCCATCTTGGGGGGGGGGGGGG